TACATCTATTTTGCAAAATAATAACTGAAAAAAGTAAGAAGGAAGACTCAGGTTTCCATTTTCCTCTTCACCCCATATCTCCCATAAGGCATAAGAGCCATAACCACCATAAGAATATCAAACTAAGAATCATCCAAATAATGCAATGACGTGCATTATCCAAAAAATAATTATTATTATAATAATGCAATTACAAATAGGCTATTTAGCTCTTGAAGATTAGGACCGTATGCCCTAGCATGATAGACAAAATCATTTAGTTTTCCCTTGCAATGATCATATTACATCATTAACAAGTTAGGTGCATTCTACTTAATTAATTGAGATAGCTGCTACTTGTCAAGTCAAGAGATCCATAAAATTTCGTGGTAAAGTTATATGTTTTTTAAAAAAGAGTTCATGATCTCCTTCCAATGATTAGGGGTATGATTAAATTAGTTTGTTAGGTAATGTAATAGTTGGGGGTAGGAGAAATCCAAAGAAAAGACATAAGGTAACAAGACGCATGCTTATATAATTTAACCAAAAGTAATATTAAGCCTCTGTTAATTTTTGAATTAAGATGGGAAGGGAAAAACTTTAAGTAGACGAACTTTTTTTTGTTAAGTACAAGTTACAATTTAAGTTATACTTTTTACATGTTAACACTCCCTAAACAAAAGCAAACATGTTTTATAATTAGATTATATTAAATTATTAAATAAAAATTATTATATAAAAGAGGATCTTAATATTAAATAACTTAATTTACAGTCAGTAATTAATATTATGTAATATAATATAACACAGACTTCACAATATTTTTTGTTTAAACAAATCAATTCTTAAATAAAATTACAAACTAAATGAAATCGATATAAAGTTCACTTAAATCTACATCCAACGCATAATAAGGTCCAATTTTGTACTCATCAAGACCTAGAATGAGAAGATAATAATAGCCATTCAAATATTTGTCACTTTTTCGTTTACATTTAAAGTTTGCCCAATTTTTTAAAATAAGCTCAATGAACAGAACATATTGCAAATTGGAGAAACGATAATACATAGCCATTCAATTCAAATAATGAACCTATGGGAACCCCATTTTCGAGGAAAATTTTGTCTAGAATGAGAAGGCGATCTAGAAACAGCCAACATGATATGTTCAGACAAAAAAAATGAAAAAAATAAAAAAAAACTGACAGCAAATTTGTTGTGCAGACAACCTGTCTGATATTCCGTCCTCTTTGTTGGTTTCTTACTTTCTTTATTTATTTTTTTTTAAAGGAAAAATCAGAATGAAAATAAAAATCTAGTTTAATAAACTAATTCTTTTAGAAGATTAAAGTAATAGTAGTTCATTAAAGATTGTTAA